AAGAAGGGAGGGGGAAGATGGGAGGGAGGGAAGAAGGAAGGAAGGAGAAAGAAGGAGGAAGGGAGGAGGGAGAGAGAATGGAGGAAGGGAGGAAGGGGAGGAAGAAACCAAGAAAAAAAGGAGAAAGGAATGAAGGGAGGACAGAGAAGGGAGGAAGAAAGGAAGGAACAAAGGAAGAAAGGAAAGAGAGAGGAGGAAGGAAGGGGAGAGAAGGGAGAAAGGAAAGAAGAATGGAAGGAGGGAGGGAGGAAGGAAACCTGCAAAAGTCTGGGGTTTGGGTTTATTTTTGCAGATTTGGAAGATCAGTTGGGACAAGAACGTGACCCAAATGAAGTCGCAGCCTTTCTATTTTAACCTTTAGGGATCCCGGGATCTTTGCTGTCTCTTGCCGTCAAATCCACCCATTGCGGGAGAAACCCAACCCAGGTTAGGAGCCAGCCTGTCCGGAGCAGCCACCTGTTCTTCAGCTGTTCTGGAATCGGATTTCCTGCCGGATGCGGCCACGGCCCTCTCCGCCCTCCCTCTTCAGGAGGCACAGCAAAAAAACCACAACCCTAACAGGCAGTTGCCCCCAAGGCCACTTGTGTGATGCCCTGCGGAAAAGGCGAATGCGATTGTCGCCCCCCCACCCCCCAAATTTGGAGATGGGTGTCATGCCCCTGTCGGGGAAGACGAACAGCTTGCAGGAAAGTGGGGAAGGGCAAAGTCCAGCTGGGCAGAGCAGGGGGAGAGGTAGAACAAGGGAGAGGGAGTTCAGAGGAAGGCCCAGGCCCACCCCCTCTTCATCCTAGGGCACGCAGGCAGGAACGGAGAAGGGAGCAACGTGGTTGCATGGCTTACTGGGGAGGAAAGGGCCCTGATTCCCTTCATTAGCCACAGCTGGGAAGGGGGTTTAAAAGGGATGCAAGCTGAGCAGGGCGTCTGCTGGGAACAAACGTGAGTTTATCTTGTGTTGACTTTGCTCATCCGCGTTCCTGGCGTTCTCCCAACCGTGTTGAGTTACTGCCGTGCCTTCAAGTCTGGAATTTTTGCTCCTGCCCTGTCGGACTAATTACTTCCTTTTGCCTTGATTGGGACTTGTAGTTACGGTTTTTGTTCACCACGTTTTGGACTTGATCCTCTGCAGCCCAAGGCTGTTCCTGGGAGAGTTTTTCTCCAGCCCAGAAGGTAACCAGGACTTTGGGGGCAAAGTTGGAGCTAATAAAGGGACTCCTACTGATTATCTGGCTGTGTTGCCTTTGTCCCACGCCCCTTTGGGTCATCACAATGAACTAAATTACAGGGGTCCCCAAACTTGGCAACTTTAAGACTTGTGGATTTCAACTTCCAGAATTGAAGCGGGGTTGTGGGTTAGGGTTAAGTAGACAAGCCCCAAACTACCTACCAGTCTTGATAAAATCTATAAAGGGAGTTATTTTCCTTACCTTGAATGCCATACAACCGATTGAGACGCGACCGTCGTCCTTCATCGGGGTAGGGTACCGATAACCAGGGCATCTCGCTGAAATATTGTTTGAACGACTCTTCCGACCTACAGGGAATATAGGAGTTAGAATAACAGAATTTGAAGGGACCTTGGAGGTCTTCTAGTCCAACCCTCTGCTTAGGCAGGAAATCCTACACCATTTCAGTCCAATGTTGATCCGGTCTCTTCTTAAAAACCTCCAGTGTTGGAGCAGCCACAACTTCTGGAGGCAAGTTGTTCCACTGGTTGATCGTTCTAACTGTGGGGAAATTTCTCCTCAGTTCTAGGGTTGCTTCTCTCCTTGTTTAGTTTCCATCCATTATTCCTTGTCTGGCCTTCAGGTGCTTTGGAAAATAGCTTGACCCCACTTCCTCCTCTCTGTGGCAGCCATTCAAGTATTGGAAGACTGTTATCCTGTCTCCCCTGGTCCTTCTCTTCCCTAGACTAGCCAGGCCCAGTTCCTGCAACTGTTCTCTATATGTTTTAAGTCTCCAGTCCCCTCATCATCCTGGTTGCTCTTCTCTCAGCTCTTTCCAGAGTCTCAACATCTTTTTTTTACATCGTGGCAACCAAAACTGGATTCCAACAGCATTCCAAGCGTGGCCTTATCAAGGCATTATAAAGTGGTAGTAACATTTCATGTGATCTTGATTCTATCCCTCTGTTTATGCAGCCTAGAACTGTCTTTTTATGGCAGCTGCTGCACACGGCTGGCTTGTATTTGAGTGAGTTCCTTCTCACAGTTACTACTATTGAGCCATATTCTGTACCAGTGTATTTGATCTGTCTTCCTTCCTTCCTTCCTTCCTTCCTTCCTTCCTTCCTTCCTTCCTTCCTTCCTTCCTTCCTTTCCTCCCTCCCTCCATTACTCCTTCCTTTTCTTCCTCCTTCCCTTTTTATGCTTCCTTGCCTTTTTCCTTTCTTCTTTTCTTTCTCCATTTCTTTCTTTTATTCTTCGCTCTCTCCTTCTTCCATCCCTTCCTGTACTAGTCTCTCCTTCCCTGCCTCCATCCCCTTCACTTCACTTCACTTATTTTCTTAACCTTCATTTCTTCCCTCTTCCCTCTTTTTTCTTCATTTTCCAAACCTTCCTTCCTTCTCCCCGTGTCATTTTCCATTCTCCTCTTCTCTTCATTTTCCTTCTTTCTTCCTTCCCTTCCCTTTTCTCCTTCCTTCTTCTTTCCTTCCCCTTTCTTTCTTTTATTCCTCTCCTCCCTCCCTCCTTCCTTTCTTCCTCTTTCCTTACTCCTTCCCTCTCTCTTCTTCATTCCCTTCCTTCCTTCCTCTCTCCCTCCTTCCCCTTTTTATACAAAAAGGAGGGCTCAGAATACATCACTGAGCTCCGTTCCACCCAGGTATGAAAAGGGCTAAAAAAAGCAAACAGGATTTATGCCCCAGAGTTTGGGACTCGTATTCAATTACCTGTCTGCACTAACAAAGACAATCTCGAATTTTTGACCAGCATCTTTGATTTTCCGGTAAGATTCCACCAGAACCCGAGTGAGACTTCTACAGGGTGGGCACTGCAGAAAGAAAAAGTTTAAAAAAAAAATTAAAATTAAGGCAAACAGCCCAGGAATTATCTTGATATACTACAAAAAAGACCCCCTACTTTTCTCTTCGAGTGCCAGAAATAACTAGGATAATATACAAGCAGGCTGGCAAACTGATACACATGGAGTACTAGAATCTTAACAAAACAGGTAGTCCTCAATTTACAACAGTTCATTTAGCGTCCATTCGACATTCCAACGGCACTGATAAACATGACTTGTGACCGTTTTTCACACTTGCGACCATTGTAGCATCTCTATAGTCAGGTGACTGAAATTCAGATGCTAACTGACTTATATTTACGATGGCTGCAGTGTCCCAGGGTCACGATCCACGGGGAAAAGTCAGATCCGCTCAACACCTGTGTTACTAACTTCACTGCATGGATTCACTTCACAAATGTGGCCAGAAAGCTCGTATAACAGGAGGGAAATGAACACGTGTCCCACATAGCGACAGAAATTTGGGGGGCCCCTGGAAAGGACTGAGGAGAAGAGGGGGGTCTCACCCAGTGAGCAGAGAAATAAACCCCGACGTGGGAGCCTTCCAAGACGCTGCTGTCAAGGGCAGGCCCGCTATTTCGGAGAAGAGGGCCGGCCACCACCTCGCTGAATGGCCGGGGACCCCACGGGAACTCCAGGCCTGGGGAGGAAAGAAAGCGGAAAGAGAATGGTCAAGAGCCACGGGACTGCTGCTTAATGGTATTTTTATTTATTGACTTAATTAAAATGTTTATGTACCACCCAACTTTCAAAGAACGAGAGCCAGTTCGGTCCAGTGGTTAAGGCCTCAAGGATAGAAACTAGGAGATGGTGAGTTCTAGTTCCACCTTAGGCATGAAAGCCAGCTGGAAGACTTTGGACCGATCACCAGGAGACAGTGAAATTCTAGTCTGCCTGAGGCATGAAGGCCAGCTGGGAGACTTTGGGCCAATCACTAGGAAATGGTGAGTTCTAGTATTGCTTTAGATATGAAAACCGGGTGGGTGACTTTGGGGCAAACACCAGGAGATGGTGAATTGTAGTCCCACTTTAAGCGTGAAAATCAGCTTAGTAAATTTGGGCTAATCACCAGGTAACAGTGAGTTCTAGTTCCACCTTAAGTATGAAACTCAGCTTGGTAACTTTGGCCCAATCACCAGGAGACAGTGAGTTCTAGTCCCACTTTATGCATGAAAATCAGCTGGGTGACTTTGGGCCAATCACCAGGAGACAGTGAATTCTAGTTCCACCTTCAGCATGAAACTCAGCTTGGTAACTTTGGCCCAATCACCAGGAGATGGAGAGTTCTAGTCCCTCTTTAAGCGTGAAAATCAGCTTAGTAATTTTGGGCTAATCACCAGGTAACAGTGAGTTCTAGTTCCACCTAAAGCATGAAAATCAGCTGGGTGACTTTGGGCCAATCACCAGGAGACAGTGAGTTCTAGTCCCACTTTATGCATGAAAATCAGCTGGGTGACTTTGGGCCAATCACCAGGAGACAGTAAATTCTAGTTCTACCTTCAGCATGAAAATCAGCTGGGTAACTCTGGGCCAATCACCAGGAGACAGTGAATTCTAGTTCTACCTTCAGCATGAAAATCAGCTGGGTAACTCTGGGCCAATCACCAGGAGACGGTGAGTTTTAGTCCCGTCTTAGTTGTGAAAGCCAGATGGGTAACTTAGGGCCAATCACCATGAGACTGGGAGTTCTAGTCCTGCCATAGGCATGAAAACCAGCTGGGTAACTTTGGGTCAGTCTTTCTCTCTCTCAGCCCAACCCACCTCACAGGGTTGTTGTTGAGGGGAAAACCGAAGGAAGAAGCATTAGAAGTATATTTGCTGCCTTGAGTTATTAATAAAAATAATAAAGACAGGAATACATAAATATGTAAAATTAACATAACATCCACCTCATTCCAACTCTGGGAATGAAGGGGAAAAGGTCAACTTCGGTTAGAATAGGAAGGTATCCTAGAGCTGGGGTGTGGAACGATGGCCCTTTTATGACTTGTGGACTTCAACTCCCAGAATTCCTGAACCAGCCGTAGGCTAGCATGGGCCATCGTTCCACATGCTGGCTGAGGAATTCTGGGAGTTGAAGTCCACAAGACATCGTTCCCCATGCTGGCTCAGAAGACAAGTTTAAAGGGGGCATTCATTCCCCACCCTCTCTCAGGAATTATGGGAATTGAAGTCCACAAGTCATAAAGAGGCCATCATTCCCCATGCTAGTTCAGGAATTGTGGGAGTTGAAGTCCACAAGTTTTAAAAGGGCCGTCCTTCCCCATCCTGTCTCAAGGATTCTGGGAGTTGAAGTCCACAACTCATAAAAAGGTCATCATTCCCCACTTTTGTACCTAGATGGATAGGAAGAATGTTGGCCTAACAAGACCATATTCTCTCTCCTCTTACCTTCTGGGTCATCTCGGATCACCAAGAGGCCATTCCGACAAACCACTTTCCCAGTGTTGGCATCTATAAATATCAGCGAGGGGATGTTGGACACCCGGAATTTGTTCCATAGTTTCAACTGGAAGGGCAGAGAAAAAGAAAGAAAAGAGAATTAAAAAAACACGATGGAACCAGAAATGCAATTAACCTCACCCCCACACCCCCAAATAGGAAAGAAATTAGCTTTATGCAGGTCGTCCTCCATTGACGACCGTTCATTTACAGACCGTTTGAAAGTTACAGCAATGCCGAAAAAAGTGACTTATGACCGGTTCTCACACATATGACCATTGCAGCAACCTTCCCCTCATAGTCACATGATCAAAATTTGGGCACTTGGCAATATTTACCCGTGTTTCCCCCGAAAATAAGACCCTGTCTTATATATATTTTTTGCCACCAAAAAAGGCATCAGGTCTTATTTTCGGGAGATGTCATCCACTGACTAACCTCATTTGCGGGTGTCACCCCCGCCCTCCTTTTCTCTGTCAGAGGCCTTCAGGAACTTCTGCGGCCGGCAAGGCTTTCCTGAAGGCCTCTACAGCTGATAAAAGAGCTCTGGATCGATCTAGAGCTTTGTTCTCAGCTCCAGAAGCCTTCAGGAAATCCAGGCCAGCCTTGCCGGCTGCAGAAGAAATGGGCCGGCAAAGCAGGTGTCAAGGTGTGCAAGGCCTGGCTATACCTGTCCAAAGGTAAGTAGTAGGACAGCCACTCCTCATCCCCACCCTAGCTTAATTTTTACCCATCCACTCTGGAGTGGGCGGGGTCTTAATTAGGGCTTATTTTGGGGGGTAGGGCTTATATTGGGTGCACATGTCAAAATCAAGCTAGGACTTACTTTCAGGGTAGGTCGTATTTTGGGGGGAAACAGGGTACAACGGTTGCAGCAAGCTGAGATCACATAACCTCTATTTGTGCTTTTGGAGAGCAAAGTCAATGAGGGGGCAGCCGGATTCATTTAACAACTGCAAAGATTTACCTAACAATCCCGGCAAAAAAGGCCATAAAATCAGGTGCAACTTACTGAACAACCGTCATGCTTAGTAACAGAAATTCTGGTCATAAGTTGAGGGCCATCTATGTAATATTTGACTGATTCATGTAACAACGGCAGTGATTCACTTCATTATAAGGCCAAAATGATTGTTAAAAGGAGGTGAAACTCACTTAACAACCGCCTTGCTTAGCAACAAAAATTCTAGCCATAAGTCGAGGACGATCTATATAACAGTTGATTGAGTCACATAACAATTGCGATGAGTAATTTAAAAACCACGGCAAAAAAGGTCGTAAAATTAGGTGCAACTCACTTAACAACCAAAATTCTACTTGTAAGTTGAGGACGACTTAATTAGTATAATAATTATTATAAGCCGCACAGTGCCTGGTTTTGGTTCACAATTCAGACTGTAAACAGCTTCGCACCACTCTTAACAATTAGTTCTCAGGAAGCCAGTTGGTGAATTGGCGGTTTCCTTTCCAAATCTGCGGGATTACAAAAAAAAACATCCCACAGAGGCCCCTCTGACTGTGCACAATGGGAGTTGTGATCCAATAAACCCACAAAGCCACAAACTGCCAAAGCCTTAAATTAATGCATCTTAAAACACACACGCACAGGCATACAGCAAAATCTGAAATAAAATCTGGTTTATTCAGCCACCGGATTCTTTTGCGCTAAATGGATTAAATCAACGTACAATGAGTAGCTACAAAAACGGGAAGCGAGAAGGAGGAAAATATGTATCCCTCGTCTTATTTTTTATTAAGGAAGGGAGGAAGGTTGCTTTGAGGGCCTGCTGGGTGCGAATGCAAAATTTGCTCCTCTTAAATCATTCATTCCTTGCAGGAGGAAGTAAATAAAAAAAACTACAGTCCTCGACAAAAAAACAGATCATTTAGTGACCGTTCAAAGTTACAACAGCCCTGAAAAAAAGTCACCAATGACCATTTTTTCACACTTACGACCACTGTAGCATGTCCATAGTCACATGATCAAAATTCGGACACTTGGCCACTGGCTCGTATTTATGACGGTCGCAGTGTCCCGGGGTCACATTTGTGACCTTTTGACAAGCAAAGTCCAGAGGGAAGCCAGAGTTCACTTCACGACCATGTAACTAACTTAACAACTGCAGCAAATCACTTAACAAAAGTCATAAAACTTTTATAGGTACATTTAAATATTTGATGTACACTGAGCTTTTGCACCAAGATAAGATCCTTGTGTGTTTAATCACACTTGGCCAATAAAGAATTCATTCATTCATCTATTCATTCAAAATGGGACAAAACTCACTTAACGAACTTCTCACTTAGCAAACAGAAATGTTAGGCTCAATTGTGGTTGTGCGTAGAACGAAAGAATTCCCTATATTACTTCAAATTTTGTCACCCTAAAGGGAGAAAATAACTTTTCTAGGGTTTGATATTTTACAAACTTCAAATGTTATATATGAAAGTGGGGGAAACCTTCATTTTAAACCCAGAACCCAAAACACGAAACTACATGAAAGGTTTAATTCATTCAACTCAATCTATAAAGCGAAACATACCACTCATGCATCATCACAAAATCTCCAGAACTGTAAAGCCTACAAACTTGAAATTTGGCATATATGTTCCTCTTGGCTTCTAGGTGCTCACTAAGAAAGGATTTTTCAAAATGATCATCAGAGCTATTAGTATTTTGTGTATTATCATTATTATTATTATTAACACGCTCTGATGCTAAGGAGTTCTACTCCCCCTCCCCACCTGAAAAGAAATCCGTTACAAATGCAAAACAAGAAGCAGAGGAGATTCAATTTCTGTTTCACCAGCTTTAGTACAGAACAGTTGAGCTAAGCCACGCCCAGACTCCTTGCTGTCTCCTTCTTGCTCACACAGCAAATGCTGTTTCAGTTTCCAAACAGCCCTCAATTCTCTCACACCCTGAACAGGACGCTGGCCAGATGAATGCCCATGGATGCTGGTAGGCAGAGGTAGAATTATTTTTCCTTATTTTCCTCCCCAAAATCTAAGCCCGACCACATAGTTTTGTAGCGAAGCTCTGGTATCCAGCTAGTTAGGAGATATTACAACAATAAAAATCCATTTAGGCCACTGCATTTAAATCTCTCCCTCAAGTTTACCCTCACGGGGTTATGTGATTCTTATTTTGTGACCGTCTCGGGATTCTTCTAATAAGCAAACTCAGTGGAGGAAAATCAGACTGGCTTACCGACCGCAGCAAAAAGGCTGTAAAATTGGATATGACTCATTTAACAACAGCTTCACTTAAGAGACAGAAGTTCTGGTAACTAGTTAAAATAAGTTCTATCTTAAACCTCAGCCTTTCTTCCCAGGAGTTTGGAAAAGAATACCAGACTGGCCACGCTCTGCTATGTTAATTTGCCCCACATTTAATCATATATAGCAGAGATTTGGGGGAAAAAAAAACAAAAACCGCCAGTTTCAAAGGCCTGGCTGACTGAAAAATCTTTATGTGATAAAACAGGATGATGAAAGAAAGTCCCGTTTTCCATCCCTTTTTTCTTTCAGCTGAATTTTGAGTTAACTTTTTTGCTAGTTTAGATTCTGGCCCCTCTTTTATTTTTGTTTGAAAAGTTCAACCCGCCATGTAACCAAGGTTGTTGTTTTTTTTTTTTAAAAAAAGGCAAGATGGCGGCCCTAACTACGCTTAAAAAAAATGTCCCCCTTTTTAAACAAGGCAAACTTGGTGCTTTTCTGAGCTTGGCGGCTTTCTGGCAGACCTTTTGTTACCCAACTAGGCAACTGTCATCAGTGCTGGAAGGCAATGGGGTTTGCAGAGAGGAGGAGGAGGAGGAGGAGGAGGAGGAGGAAGAAGAGGGGTCCTTGATGAGTCTGACTGGTTTGTTTTCTTGCAGACATTTCATAACCCAACCAGATAACATAATCAGAGTTAGTAGAGTGGGGTTTGTGTAGGAGAAGAAAGGGAGGAGGAGGAGGAGGAGGAGGAGGAGAAGAAAACTGTCAGCTCCTTGGCGCTCTGAGATAGGTGGGGTTTTTTGCAGACATTTCATAACCCAACTAGGCAACATTCATCAGTGCTACGAAGGAGGGGGATATGTGGAAGGGGGGTGAAGAGGAGGAGATGGGGAGGAGAAAGGGGAAGAGGAGGAGTGGGGGGGAAAGGGAGGGAGGTAAGACTATGGGGTCCTTGGTGCTCTCTGAGCTGTTTTCTTGCAGGCATTTTGTTACCCAACTAGGTAACATCATCAGCGCTAGAAGGGAATGGGATTTGCGGGGGGCGGAGGAGGAGGAGGAGGAGGAGAATTATGGGGTCCTTGGTGCTCTCGGAGTTTGATGGTTTTCTTGCAAATGTTTCATGACCCAACTAGATAACATCATCAGTGCTAGAAGGGAGGGGGGGGGTTAGGGTTTCCTGACTAAGCAGGGGGTTGGACTAGAGGACCTCCACAGTCCTTTCCAACTCTGTTATTCTATTCTATTCTAGTTGCCCATCAAATCGGAAGCGCTTCGGCGGAATTATCCATTCCGCCGAGGACGCTCCCTCCCTCGCTCGCCTCCAAGCCCCCGAAGGCGGGAGGAGGAATTTGAAGAGCCCGCAGGCTTTGGAGCCGGCCCAAGGAGACGCCTTTGCAAACGCTCTCTCCTCTCGCCGGAGAGTGTCCACTTCAAACCGGCCAAATCCTTCTGTTTGTTTGGCCTGCGCCGTCCCAAAGAGCCTCCGGTGGTGGGGGTGGTTTGGATTGCATCAGCTTTTGATGGGCCTGGTCCTCCTCGGGTTACAGCTGACCGATGTGGCATGAGATGAGATCCGAGGACGGCGCGGGAAGCCTAGAGGGCCATCTCAGGAAATGAAAAGACCGTTTTGCCCGCAAAGGAGAAGAGGAACGCAACACAAGCGGAGGGGACGAATGATAACAGATAATCGGAGTTGGAAGGGACCTTGTAGGTCATCTAGTCCAACCCCCCGCCCAAGCGGGAGACCCTACACCATTTCTGACAATCCAGTCTCTTCTTGAGAGCCTCCAGTGATGAAGCTCCCACAATGTTCAAAGGCAACTTCTGTTCCATGAGTTGATTGTTCTC